TCAAGTGGGCATAAGTAATTCCTACTCAACTTTATACCAACATTCCTCATCAAAAAATATATTATTATCTATTAAGCTCAAAGAATAATGATTCATCAGGAATAAAACTCCCAGTCCTCTTAACTCTTCGGACAGATCATTTTCATCCATAAGCCTCATACCCCTAGTAATTATAGAGTTTACAATTCCAAACATAGATTTGTAACTGTGGTTAAAAAGTAAATTAATAACAAAACAAGCATATGTTGGTTTTTCATAAACATTTCTACCTAGCTTACCATCTTCCCTATTAAAACCATGACGTCCATAAAAGGCTATTTCCTATTTTCTTCCAATTCCATTGTGAATTTATGATTGCTTTCACGTTGTTTAAACTGTCTTTACCATACTGCCAAATCAAAAAATAGTCATCCATTTATGTGACAAACAATTTGCGAGTCAGAATTACCTTTTGCTTTAAGCGTTCCTCAAACTTAGCCACGCAGTTTTTCGCTAAAATTGGAGCCAAGCAAGAACCCATTGCAAGTCCTTGCGTCTAATCATAAAACTTACCGTCAAAGGTGAAATTTGTACTACACATGGATACGTTAATGAGCCTTAGAATGGAGGCTATACTGAACTTAATTCCTTCCGTAAGTAGGGTAAGCATTATCGCCTGAATGGCTCCTTGGACTGGACTATTTGTGTACATTGAAACCACGTCAAAGGTTACTAATATTTCTTCTTCTGAAAGTTCAACAAACTCACAAGCGTTTTGTTAGAATAATAACAAAAATTCGGTCACTTTTCTTAATTTTCTGCATAAAACACGCAATATTTCACGCATAACGCTACCCTCATTCTGGACAAACAATCTAAGGCGGAACGTTTCTTTATGCACCTTTCGAGGGCCATAATCAAAGAGTTCCCTAGCATTTCTTTGAAGTAAGGCATTCATTTTCCATTTCTCCATTTCCCCACTACTTACACATACCTTATCAGCATCTCTCAGACTAGTTCTAAGTCCCTTTGTAGGAACTTCAATTAAAGGCGTATATTCATCAATGCCATTTAAATGCACTAGAATTTTCTCAAGATAACTTGACCTATCAAAGACTACCACTACCCCACCTTTGTCGGCTTTCATAACAAATAGATCATTAGGAACTAGATATCTTAATACTCTGCTCAAAACAAAGGATTTGTTTGGCCTAACTGCCTGGCCAAACTGTGGAATCACCTCCAACTTTATACTATTCTTGACTTGTTCAGGTACCCCATCTAATAAGCGATTTAGCTCAACCAGTATTTCCAGAGCATGGTTTAGTTCATTCGGGAATGCAAAATATATTCCTCCTTCCAAATCACTTTTTGCTCCTCCATTATGCCTAGATTTAGGTTATATCCACAGCTTCCAGTCTTTTTTACATGTTACTTTAAGAATGTTCGACTCCCGCTGGGGGTATTGATAAGACCGACGCGAGGTCGAAACTGCAGTCAACTTCTGTCTGGATGAGAACAAATTTTGGGAAAGCAAGGCAAGTTGAAATTCAATGGAAACGTCAGCTCTACTCATATCATTGTGGATAAATTCTACAGCCAGTCCTCCATCCCCTTAAACGAAATAGGGTGAATACATCTCATAGTGTAGGAATGATAGCCTGATTTCCATCACATAACGGACGTAAACTTGGCAGGTTTTAATTTTCGCATTAAGTATTGTTTTCGTGACTACCAGTAAATCAGTAATATGAAATGTTACTTTAAGAATGTTCGACTCCCGCTGGGGGTGTTGGTAAGACCGATGCGAGGTGGGAAAGCAAGGCTATGCGAAATTTAATGGAAACGTCAGCTCAATTCATATCATTGTAGGAAAATTCTTCTTCTACCAGTCCTTCATCACCTTAAACGAAATTGGGCGGATACATCTCATATTATTGGCCGATTTTCGCTGAAATCGAAGACGATTGCCTCGGCAGCCACGTCAGCAAGAATGTGCCAGTAAGACGGAATCCTCCGTCGCTTTCGAGTTGGATTGATCCTCGAATTCCTTCACCACACATTTACAATCTCAATGGAAGTGAGCTCAACAGAGCTTCTCCGAAACCACCGTTTTACTCAATGCCTTGTGAAGTATAAGGAGGCTGGGAGAACATCGAGAACAATACCATTTTAATAATCTATTCGGGACTTATCCATTCAAAGGCTAATTCATACATCGACTGTCACACAGTCAATGCCCAAAACTGATCCAATTTGCCTATACGGAAGTGGATCGGCTTCGAGCCCTGTTCGTCATGATGCACAGAGTTAGCCCGGCAGACTTGTATCACTAATGTCATAATGTAGACCATGCGACAAAGTCGCATTGAGCCTGGCTCTACTTAAACGTCTCATCTGCACTGTGATGCAATGACAACGATGACTGTGGCGCTGTTCCTCAATGACATCTACGAACCTGCTTTGAATCCCATACGCAAAACAGCCTGTTTGTGGATTCCAAAATCGGAATTGCCCAAACATGGCCCACACAGAACACCAAATAAGTGGTTTAAAGACAAACGCGCCAGGCTGGATAAGAAGATCATACCAGAACGCGGAAGTTTAGGAAACGTATATGAATAAAGAAGACAGCAAACACGTGATGGAATTGAAGGAATGAATGTATGAATTAAGGTGGAAACTACTTGCGGCTTTCGGATAGGCTGAGGGAGAAAGAGTCAGAGGCAACAAGAGATACCGCCGAGCAAGAGTAGGCTAGATTAGCTCGGAATCTTGTTTTTACTCTCACACCTCACACAATTTTAGTAGATTGCATGCACACAGAATACGTGCAATTGAAAACAATCACATGCATCAACATGACAGGATCAAAAAGATTCAGTGGTTCGCTGACTATCGCATCTGTTTCATGCTTCCTCTACAGCCACTTCACTCTTCAGCAAACATTTAGGGAAATCATAGGATATCCATCCGAATCATGGGATACCTCATTAAGTGGACAAAGTTTTGCGACAAAAAGTAGGCAGGCTCACAGACCGCCACATGTCTTGTCTTTGTGTCCTGTTGAATTCTCGTAACGCATGTCGTCCTGTTCTGACGATGTCCGCAGCATGATGGACGAAAGCTCGGAGAACGCTGCGACAAGGGCCTATTGGCCCAATTCTACAGTCACAACTTCAAGGGAATCCTCCTTCCGTTGAGTTTGCGAATTCCTTCCACCAACAAATGTATGCCAACATGAGATTATGGGGTTTATTAATTTTCATCTAAAATGTTTATAACATTTCTATCATTCATTTAGGCTTGTGGTCACCTCGGATGATAGCAATAGCCGATCAGGATCGAGGGCATACGAGGGGAGATTTCCGCTTCGTTGCCTGATTGTATTTGGAGTATCACCCATTGCGCTGACGATACTATTAGCTAATCACAGATTCCGTGGGGTCACAGAATACAACATCGAACAGTTCATTCTAGCCTCCAAAACCGATTCACTTATCCAATAACACGAAAAGAGAGGACTAAAACTTCGAATCCTCCAAGTGATTCTGCGAAAATCTACTCAAATTGGATCATGTTTGCGTGTTTATCCAGACGACCGCATAACCAATCGGTTCTCTTGGTAGTTAAGACGGCAGTACTGCAGATTTTGTGACTGATGGCTCATTTACTGACAATCTGTCAGTGAAGAAAGAAAGTTGTGAGGGTTTTCATTCCGACTGCAAGTACATTATATACAACTTCGCCGGTCGATCTCACCAGAAGAGGACCTCTGATTCTCGTTGTACTGATGAAATCCACTAGAAATCCTCCGTCGGGCAAAGTTTTCATTCATCAACTGACGAATATCGTCAGAGCTGGGACTCATTCGTGCAAAAGCCTCAACTCTTCTTGATTTAGTGTTGACGTCAGACCTCTAGAAGAATGAGCCCCAATTCTGAGGATGCTCGTCTTCGTCAGAAAAGTTGGAGG